TAAGGTTATATGGGGGTTATATAGGGATAGTGGAAAAGAAAATGGAAACTACTATTTAGGGTTTTGGGTGTAGGGTTTAGGTGACCTATAGTTAGAAGGATATACTGGGTTTAGGGTGTAGGGTGTCACCCCAGTAACGCAGAATCAAATGGAAAAGGACATAGAACATGAGATGGACATTTGGATTGTGTAGAGGCTTCTGGGTTGATGATGATCAAAAGTCCTGCGCGACCTTAGTTTTCCTGACTACACTAGAATGCGATACTTCCCATCAAGGTATGAGGCCATAAGGGATTCAAAAAAGGGGAAAGTTTAGGGCGCTTGTAGCCGTACTGCGTATCTGGGGGGCCCGCCTCGTTAACCAAAGTGCTGCTCTCTACCGCTGCGCAGCATGTCAGGTTTATTTAGATGGAGACCCCTCATTCACCGAACACGATGGGGGTTTCCCAAAATTAGGGGTACCCTTCTTGAGGTCTCCTATAGTGAGGGCTATAGCACCTTGGGGTGCATTCAATCATCTGGAAATGGGGGTGTTCTAGATATCATGGAACCACTAGAAGCCGTAGGCTGTTTGGCTGTACACCCGTCAAACATGCTGTCCCATGCCTGTCAAAAACTTAAGCATGCCTTTTCCCGCCTGAAAGCTCTCCAAACCTAATCGTCCTTGCTGCATCTTTGACCTGACCCTGATTCAAGGCACGCTCCTCAAAGAAGATGCCCAAACGCCGAACTGCCTGTCGAAGGAAGAAACTTGACTTTCGCGGCAGCACTGCGCTCGTAACTCCAGTGAGCATGATAGTGATAAGAACAATGCACTGCGTGGCTGTGATGAGAGAAAAACTGACACCTCGTCCACCCTCGCACAGCTGGCCGGAAGGAGCATAGCTTGGGCCATTCCCCATATTCCCCAATCTTTCCGGCAGACATAACATTAGGGACCCCAAGAGACCAGCACTGGCCTCTTTTGGGGCACGGGAAACCAGGCTCATTCCTTCCCAAATGCGTCTTGACTGGGAAGCCTTGCGAACGGAAATTTTCAAGTTCAGGTAGAATGCCAGTCCCTGTGATGGACAGGGCGTACAGTCTGGCGGGCCAAAAACGATAAGAGATCGTTCATGACGCTCGTAAAGACTTGAGTGGGAATGTCAGTGCTGCTGAGAATGTTCTAAGAAGTCCTGCTTTGCGAGCTGCTGCCGTTACTGAAAGTGAGCACAGCATTTTTTTGCTCGTTGTGATCTGCGAGGTCTTCCTATTTGACGTGCTGTCTCGCTTGGTGTAGGCGCGATGCGGTCCTTCCATTGTGTCTTGCCATTGGAGCATGTTGATGGATGCTTGGTCTTGGCTTCCTGACTACTGGTGTTGCTTGCCGCCTATTACAAAGAGAGCCTGTTTTCGAGGCTCGCCAATGAACCCTAAAAAGCCTAACGGCCCCGAAAAAAGCCCGTGTACACAAGTCCTATATTCTCCATACCTGTTTCCAATTTACACCTGCGTAATTATTCATGTGCATGGAGCTCGCCAAAGGAGCCCGGTAAGACAACAGCCCTAAACCCTAAACCCTAGAGTCCCTAAAGCCATGGGGGTCTGAAAAGACATTGGGGGCTTTATATACAAGGTCCTAACCACAGGCCCCCAATCTGGGCACCTGTTTCCTGGGTCCTAACTTTGGGCCCAAGTAGATTCTGAGGGAAATCAACGATCAACAAAAACAAAACTACATCAGGAACCCAGGATTAAGGTCATATACCAAAATTCTAATTGTGACGACGGGACCCCTGAATTTTGCAAACCCCCCATATGGGGGTTCCACATTGTGTGGGCGGATGGTATGGGAGGCAGTCCTCAAACAACCACATAAACATAGTTAACATGGCGTTTGCCATGCAAACTCCAATAATCCATTAGTTTCCATGTTCTTCCAACCCTGGACCCCGGACCCTTGTGAAATGGGTCATCATGTCTTTTCCATTCCTCCACGCCCCGATGACAGCCAGCAAGAAGACCCCAAATCTCAAGCCCTCAATATCTCTATAAGCCCTTAGTTTTCGTTTCGTTTTCCATGTGATTGCCCATTGGTTGTTCGGTTCTTCCCTGGTTTCGATACTTGACACCAAAACCCTAAACCCTATAGTACCTTCCATTTGATGTTCCACCTTCGTTTCCATTTCACGCTCCATTAGTCCCAAATTCCCTATGTATGCCGATGTATCCCTAGACATCCCCGTGCATACCTAGGTCCTCGGTGTAAGCCCCTACATTGGTAGCTGTCGGTCCAGGGCCTGCCAGCGGCTGACATCCACGGCCGACAGCACAGCTGGAAATTCTGGTGCGTCGGCCACCAGGAAACACCTGACCAATCCCCTCCAGAGTTGCATGGGGATGTATAGGGAAATGCAAAAGAAAATGGAAACTACCGCATTATTTGAGCTTATACAGAGAGGTACAGCGGCATGGACAGGGGATGCTACCATTTCACGTAGGACTTCGGGCTAAAAAACCGCCCACCACCCCCCCACCCCCCCCAACCACCCACCTAAACATAACATCTCCCAATGTAGATATCCCCCCTTGGTAATATATCGGGGGGGAGTTAGTGTTGGGGGGGGTGCTATCGCAAGGGGGGCGCAAAGTGGCTATTGTCCTTATGCTTTGCTGGGTTCCCTGTATGTTTGGGGGAGGGTAGGGCTTAGGGCCTAGCGTTTAGAGTCAAGCAGTGTAATCAGGCTTTAGGGCCCATCGGCCAGCAGATAGAGTTCACCAGGATGTCTTCTGGGGTTGAAGGGCTTA